GACACCCCGCGCCGCCCCCGCTCCAGCTGCCGCTTCAGCCCCCAGCCGAGAGGAAGCTCCGCGGGGCGGAGAGGCGGGTTGCATAATGCCAGGCACTGCCCCTCATTGGCCTCCTGCCCGCGGAGCCACAGGCCCCGCCCCCGATTGGCTGGGGAATCTCTTCTCGGCGCCTGATTGGCTACTGGCCCCCACTGAGGTCAGGGCTGTGTCACACACACGGGCGCACGTGGACCTGGGTGCTGGCGCTGGGCTGAAGGGCCCCAGACACCGCCCAGCCAATGGGCGCAGGACGCCTAGCTCAGGGAATAATGGAAGGGAGGAGAAGGGAGGGAGCTGCCTCTCTTCAGGGAAAATGCCTGGGCCACGATAAGTGCTGAAGAGATGTCTACTTCCCTAACTGACCAGCCTCACCGAATGGGGCACTTGGCCTTTCTAGGAGTGGGAAAAGAGTGCAGACCCTGGGACTTAGACAAAGATGGAAGAGCTGCCTGGTCCCTGAGAGGGGAAACCTGGCTTGGCCTTCCGTGGGTTCACATCCCCAGCCTCTTCCTCACACACAGTGAAGCCCTACTACCCAACCCCTTCCTTTATACTTCAACTCCTGGGAGAAGGGCCACTGAGGGTGTACTAGTGATGGGGGGGGTGAGTGGGTGGAGGGAGGATGGAGACAAAGGAAGGGGCCACCAGAGCCAGAGGAGGCTGTAAAGGGAAACAATGGCTGGTGCTTCCAATGGTCAAACAGAGAAACGGTCTGCAGACAGCCTACATGGTGACTAGTGCTTCTCTCCAGAGGATGCAGCCATCAGAGTTAGGGCTGCCCAAAAGTGGGGGCTAGAAAGACAGGGATACAGAGGGACAAAGGGGACAGCTAGAGAAGAGGCCAACTGGGAACCTAGACAGAACCTAAACATATTCCCACCCGCTGGAAAAGAGAAAGCCAAAATTCAGGGCCCATGAGAGACCTCATCTGTCTCATTCACTGTTCTCCCCAGTGCCCCCAAACAGGACCTGACATATGGTAGGTGATCAATAAACGTGATGATTTTCTTTTTCAGAAGAATACGGTGACGAGGTGGGGAAGGAGCCTTCACAGTGGAGAAGGGACTGGAAATATTAAATTTTTAAAAGAGGAGAGCAGAACACTGAGTTCTAGAAAGAGGCAGGGGCTTAATTTGAGGGAATAAAGTACCACTCTGGGTCCAGTAGAGCTGTGGGTAGTGCGCAGACACCTCCATCCAGGGCTGTGGTGAGTAAGTAGTTCCTCTCAAGGCTCCCTGGAAACGTGGGTAAAAGTGAAGAGGCCCCCAGCAGCTGCTGACCTAATCGGCAGGGCACGCCCCTTAGTCACGTGGCCTGAGTTTTCCTTAACAATGGTGTTGGGGTGTGTGTGTGTGTGTGTGTGTGTGTGTGTGTGTGTGTGTGTGTGTGTGTGTGTGTGTGTGTGTGTGTGTGTGTGTGTGTGTGTGTGTGTGTGTGTGTGTGTGTGTGTGTGTGTGTGTGTGTGTGTGTGTGTGTGTGTGTGTGTGTGTGTGCTTCTGTAGAAGAGTAAGGACACAGGATGTTATACTACAACCCAGAAAACCTAAAGCAGGAAAACAGCAAGGAAGCAAGAGCCTGGATTCTCAGTCTCCTCTCCTTGAAAATGACTGCATACCGTGGCCCTGTCCTTGTCTGATCTTCAGATACCTCTGTTCTGGAAACCTCATCTTCTTCCCGCCCCAGCTCTTCTCAGGGATTTAGGTGTGATCTTCCCCGGACCAGGCAGTCCTTGCTCCCCCACCTGTACCTTCCTATCTGTCTTTTGCATAGACAAAATAGCGCTCCAGCAACCCCCATCCGCTCTCAAAGCCCTGGTTGTCCGGCCTCACGGTCCCCACAGTAACCAGGCCCTGCTGCCGTCAATGGAAGCGAGGGGGCGGGAGACGGCGGTGACGTCAAAGCGGAGGAAGGGGGCGGAGCGAGGCAGCGGGGGAATGTGGGGCAGGGAGGCTAGAGAAGCTGGAGAAGCTGGAGAGGCAGCGGTTTGGGAGGCGGCCAGCCCCAGAGGGCGGCGGCCAGCGCACTTGGGAACATCGTGTTCTCCTGGCTAGTGGCCCAGGACATGCACCAAGCCTGGGCGCCTCCCCCAGCTCAACGACAGCCGTCCTGTCCCACAGCCAGGGATTCCTGGAGAGAGGATTTGAAGGAAGGGGTCTTCTCGTCCCTATCCCAGGCTCGCTCGGTTTGGGAGGCGGCCAGCCCCAGAGGGCGGCGGCCAGCGCACTTGGGAACATCGTGTTCTCCTGGCTAGTGGCCCAGGACATGCACCAAGCCTGGGCGCCTCCCCCAGCTCAACGACAGCCGTCCTGTCCCACAGCCAGGGATTCCTGGAGAGAGGATTTGAAGGAAGGGGTCTTCTCGTCCCTATCCCAGGCTCGCTCTCTGGGACTCGCATCTGCCCGCCCCTCAGCTTGTTCCTGCAATTCCTGGCCGGCCGTGGCCTAACCCGCTCCCAAACTGTACACATCTGCTGGCCTGCTACCATGGGGCCGGGCGGGGAAGATAGAGGCCCAGGTTCTCTGAGAGGCACCTTTGCTCCCTCCCAGAGGCCCCCTTCGGAGCTTGAATCTCTTGTTACTATGGCAGCGGAGAGAGAGGGAGGAGGGGCCGGGAGGAGACTAGGTCTAGGATGAGGAAATCAAACTGGAACAGAGCAAGTGGCCAGCTTGGGGCCTGGATCCTGCCAGAGGGACAGAAGGGAGGAATGAGAAATTTTGGGCTGGTGCCTAAAGACCAGAAGAGACAGGAAGAGGGAAAGA